GATAAGCATGTGAGCCAAAGGAACAGGGTGGGAAATGGCCATGGGGTCCTTACCCTTTGTATTTGGCTTTTTTGATCATTCTGAAGAAAGAAAATAAAAAAATCAATGCGGTGAACTGAATCAATTTCTGATGTAATCCTACTCAAACATAATGACATTAGTCACGTTCAGGAAGTGACCCAGTACTTCCTGGCAGACCTGAACAAAGACAGCACCATTGTGATTGTTTCTTTTTGTCCTACAACTAAACTCAGCTCTCCATCTCCCCCAAAAACCCTCTCTGTCACCTCACAGGTCGCAAAGCCTGACAGTAACACACTGCCAGCAGAAGGCTTCCCGGCCTTCTGGCTGTCTAGTGCAGGGTTTCTGTGAGCTGAGTGCTAGAGGCAGGTAAGAGAGGTCAAAGCATCCGGCAGCTGAGCTTGCTTAGGGTGGGGAGAACGTGATTAGCGATATGGGCATGTGTCTGCTCTTCCACGTCAACATGCCTGCGTATCGCTGAGCAATGTGCCAAACTCCTCCTTGTGGGGGTGCTGTGCTCGGAGCTAAGATGAGTAAGCAGCTGTACCCCTTGGCTGTGACATGGCTTTTCAGGGCTACTACAGCCTGACCTTGTTATTTAAAACCAGCAGACAGCTGCCATGTCAACACGCTATCGCATGCCATATTTGCATACACCCATCAAAAAGAGTTGTAGCCTGGTGTTGAACCAGTCTTTAAATCTCTACATGCATGCAAGCATGTATACTTATGTGCGGACACACACACGTATAAGCAGAGGAATTAGCTGAGGGATTAAAAGAAGCCCCTTCTTCTAAAGAACATTAGTGATTCTAACTTCATAGCATAGCAAGATAATTGGTATGGGGGGAGTGTGGTTTAGAAGAGTCTGACTCAGCTTCATGTTGTAAATCTAGTTTCACCACTGCCTCTTCGTGTGATCCTGAGCAGCGTTCTCAGCTTCCCTCAACCACAGGGCCTTTTGTTTAAAAGAAATAAAAATCAAAATAACCACTCAGACCCATGCAGAGAGTGGAGAGGAATAGCTCACAGTGAATAATGCTGGTGGAGGTACTGTGGGTGAATATCTCAGCTGAAGGGCACTACAGTATTACCATCACTGTATTGTCAATATGCTGATGGGAAAGATGATTCTATATTACAGTGACCTTCTCAGGGGATCTTCTATGTAATTATATAATTTGTTCTTGTTTATTTTGCATAGGGTTGTTCTTGGAATTGTACTGCTGTAGACATCAAGGAATGGATTATTTGAATTTGCCAATGGTAAACAATATTTAATTAGTTAGAAGCCATATAATGCAGAACAATGAAGTCCTCAGAAAATGCACGGAGAAAACAGAACTCATTTGTGCTCAAGTACAACATATATTGAAAATACTGTTTCTCCCCATGTAGATAAATTTGCATTCTGAGGTGTTGGGGAGGAGTGTCAATATTAAACATCTGGTCTGCTTTTTAGTACTCTGAACAGAATCTGCATGTGATTGAGAATTCAAGTTCGGCCAGAAAAACAACTGAGGTTGAGAGACAAAATAGGGGTCAGCTGCTTTTGTCTAATTACATATTCTACTTGGATAGGTTGGAAGGTGCCTTTCCATTCAGCAGTCTTCACGAAAGATTAAGGTTTTGTGACAGCACATCACTTCGACAGAACATGAGGAATAGCAGATAAACTAGGATTTTAGGCTACAGGGATTATCAAATATTGCAACGCTGCAGTCTGAGATTTATCAGCTGCCAAGCCCTGCTTCTTCTTTACCTTTGCTAAAATCCTTTTGAAAGGTGACAGTACTCATGAATGTTAAAAATGTAAGCAGGCAAAGTACAGAAGCCAGGATTTCTTATTAAAGGAGAAGTAGAACAAAAACTCTGGGAGGACTACAGTAGAAGCTGTGCTGTGGTGAATAAGAAGTCAGGCCACAGTCATGGGGAGAACTGGCATCCAGCCCAGTTGAAATTAAATGTTAGTTGTTGTTTTTTATTTTTAATTTTTTAAACCTGAGCCTGGATTTCCTTCTGTCACCTCATATCCCTTTACAGTCAACAGCACTGTGTCCATGCATATTTATTAGATTTAGACATATTTTGCAAGTCACCTTCACAACTTCTTTTCTTTTCCTGGACAAACTGGTTGGTTACGTAGAGACTGAATTTGCAAGTCTAATCTTCGGAGGTTATTAACCCATTTTAGTCTGGTTGCTCAATAGGTAGATAAGTTTTTAGGCTTCTTTGCAATTTCATTTCCTCATCGAAGTCCACGCTTCCGTCCAGATTTCACAGTTTAGATTCCTTCACACATGAAATGACCTTTATATCTAGCCTCCTGGCGGAAAAACAACAGTTCTGCTGTTAGTATTGCTTTCATTTAGCGAGCCAGAGGCGTGAAATGAGCAGGTTTATACACCTGCATACACATTCTTTGCCCTAAGCTCCCAGTGACGCTGAAGGAAACAAGGCAGACGCTATTTCTCCTCCCCACGCTAAGGTGCAGCTCCAAACCTGAACTGGAAGCACTCTGGGTATTTATTTGCTTGTGGTATTTCCAGCTCTGCTGAAGGCCTAGAAAGCCCAGCCACTGAAACACACACAATTACATATTGAGGCAGAGTTTTGGGTGCTGAGAGACAAGCTGTAGGAATAAACACAGCTATGTTTTTTCCATTACACCGCATTCACATTTACCTTCTCTGTGCAAACATACAGGGGTAAATACATGTTGTTTGGGAATCGCTAAGAATGTAGGATCTGCTCTTGAACTTTGTCTCGGAGAGGGTTCTCCAATGTTTAAATTAAATAAAGCTGTGGTTATACTCATTACAGGGCATGGTTTGAGCTTATTAACTGTGAGGAAAACAACCTATTACAGAGCATACAGTCAACCTTTGTCAGCACCTGTGCTTTTGAATGACCATTGGCTTCCAACTCTGCCATGACAGCCTTTAGGCTGTGCTCCACGAGTTCAGGTTTCGGAGAAACACATCTGAGTTCCCTGTGGAAAAAAAGACTCTCCCCTTCTAGGAGAATAAACTTATCCGCCTTGCTGTCGTCCAGAAGTGCCTGAACAGATCTTCTTTGTGTTCCCATGTAAACATCAGCTCCGGGTAAACATGCAGCCACAAAATATTACGTGTCAGGGTCTCAGAGGGAACGACAGCCTTTTTTCCAGAACAGCCTGAAATTTGGAGACTGCACACAGGCTGCGAGGCCCAAGGACAAGGGCAGCTCCAGATACAGCACTGAAATAATTGCCATTGCTACACCAAGTTAATACAGCCTCACTCTTGGCCCTTGCTTGGCCAACAGGCATTTCTGACACCAATTTTTACATTACAAGCAAACCCTGAAGAGGAGACAGTGCTCCTATGGAGACTTAGCACAGTGTTTGTTTGTGCTCATGCTCTAATTTAGCTTTCAAGGAAGTCTTTATGAGTTCAGGCACTTGGTTCCCACCCAAAGTTTCTTCTTCGGCTCCCTTGGGAGATCCAGGCCGTGCACGAAAGAGAGCAAGAGGCCTGAAAAGAATGCTTTCAGCTGGACCAGACATGACACTCCTCACGAAAACAGATTGAAAAATGCTGAGCAAGCAACTTTGCATACATGGAACTGCAGCTGAATGCAGCGCCCCCGTAAGGTAGGGGAGTCCCGTCATAAAAAAAAAAAAGTCATAGCTGGAATGATTTTGTAAAGCAAGATTTTCGTTACAGTTACAGGGTTTGTACAGGTTTGGGAACAGGGCCAGCAGAAATGCCTGTGTTACATTAGTATTGCTGGAGCCCTGGTGGTGTGTGGAGCTCCCACCACACTTCCAGGCCCTAAGAAAACCCTTACAGCTTTAGCCTTCCAGCAGATCCACTCGTCATGTGCCAGCAGCACAATAAAAGGACTTGTTCAAGCCCCAAGATGTAAAGCTCAGTGGAAAAGGAGCCTCGAGTTATCTGGATGCAAGAGAGAATTCAGCACCAGTGGCAGTGAACAAAGTCAGGCCCTGTTATCAGCTTGGCCTGGTGCCACCACAGAGACAATCTGCCCATTCCAATTCCCTATTTCAATTGAAGCTTTTCGGACCCAAACTGGGAGTACAATGCTGGGATTATCATCACAACACGCTTGGAAAGCAGGGCTCCCTTCCCCAAATTCACTGTAGCCTTTGCAATAAAACTAATCCATGTGTATCCTCAGATTCTTCTTATTGCAGCACTGCCTGGGAGGCCACACACATCAGGATCTAATTCTCTTTTCTGCCATCTCATGTAATAGTGAGCATTGTCCTAACAGCACTTCTCAGGGTGTTGGCTTCCCTAATTCCCAGGTTACATTACTTTATGTTTTTTTTCTTCCAGTTTTTCAATTAAGCAGCAATCAATTCCATTTCTACAACCCTAGAAATCTGCTCAGTCGCTGATAAGAACACAGAATTAATCGCTTGCCCTCCAGCACTGGGTGGAACCCCCTCTTTATACCCACAGTGAATATTAGCATCAGGCAGGAACATACTGGCCATTTACTGAAATGATGTGGAGAAATGATTTCAGTGAGCTTTTGCAGCGTGATAGAGGTTTCCCAAGTGGAGGAAGATAAGACAAAGAGAGCTCTCTTCCTTCCAAGGCACGGATTTTTATCCTATCACAAAAGCAAGCAGCTGAAAAGACTCCAGCCACAAAGCCCTGTGCTTTGACAACAGTCAGACTGCCTGTCCTTTTGTGTGAGACTGACTGCCAGATGGGATCCGGGATGGAAACAAGTTCTTAAACAAGTTATACCTAGTGCGATGGTTCACGGTCATTATCAGATGCTGAAGGCTGTTACATACCTCATTCTCCATAGGTACTTCTTGTTATTCCCCATGAGGGAACCAGAACATGTGTGGTAAGCAGCTGTATCCATCCATCATCTCAGATGAACATTACCTTGAAAAACCCAGATGTTCTGAATGCAAAAAAAAAAAACCACAACAAAACATCCCCCACTAGACTGGCTCAATATTGAGTGGCAGAGGTAGTATTTTATTTTTGTTTGAGCATCCCTCCTCAAGGACACTAAAGAGTTTGTAAAACATCACTGAACGAAATCAAAACAGTGCGAACAACAAAACTGCAAAACTGCCAAAAAGTAAAACACAGCAGCATTCAAATACCGAAAAACATGAGAGCTAAAGTGCTTGAGATCATTTCTTAACTATGCACAGTCTGAGTCAATCTTTCCCACCAAATCCAATGCTATTTTTCAATAGCATCTGCCTGGCTGCATAGGTTTCTTCACCAATCTATGGCAGCATAACACTACTAAGCCAGAGCCATCACACAAAAGGACTAGGAGCAATATACGTCTTTCTTTCCCTCTTACTAAAAGTTAATAAATAGTACTCAAAGAAACACATTTCACAGTTCAGGCAGCGGAAGTTTGACTTCCAGGAAAGTGACTGTACGGATTTCCCATGCAGTGAAATCACTTGCATTGCCTGAAGCTGAACAAAGCTTTGGTGGGTTCTATAAAGTGCTGTCTTTTAGTATTTTATGCCTGTCTTTAGTAGTGTTTTTTTCAAACCAGCACCGGGGTTGTGAGTTTAAAAAAATACTGAAGTAACAGACTGGATTTCAGTGGACACTGGAGCCAGACAGACATTGTACAGTGCACACAGAAATATAATAATAATTAAAAAAATCCCTAACCCAATTATGGTAAAACTCTTCGTCCTTAAAAAGAAAACCAAACACCCACCAAGCACCAAGAGTAAATCTGAAAGCAACACCTGCCTCCTGGTCCCCTGGCTCATTCCAGGAAGGATGATTACTACGTGAAACAAGCTCAGCAGCAATGGTTGTGAGCCTGAGCCTGCAGGCACTCAGTGCAAAACTCTCCCAGCATTCAGCCCCATGGAAGGGATCCCGATTTTCCCCGAAGCCGAAGGGAGCTCCCTACAGACTTCAGCAGACTTTGGACTGACCCCATAGATTGACAGCAGGAGCAGGACCTTGTTTTACAGTCGCTGCTTTTCTACCCAGCCAAGAAAGCCACCCCCTGAAATTCCTGGAGGGGTTTTCAACCTTCCCCTCCATGCATGCATTTAACATCCAGTACAGTTAATAGCAGTTACACATGCATATCAATGGGAGAAAAGTCCCAGTCGAGAGGAATTACTGGTAGTAAGAAAAGAAACCCAGTAGAAATGCTGAGAATGGCTAAAGACCCAACTCCCCAGTCGGTTTCCCTGTTTAACCAGCAGGCGTCTGCCCCGCCGGGCTGTACTGCAGGAAGCTCTAGAAGTGTGTGGTTTTTGTGTGCACGGCTGCGTGGCGCACGCGGGACGGGACGGGCGAACGGGCGGCGTTGTGCGGCGTGCCGGCCCGTCGGCAAGCTGCCTCCTGCCTCGGCATCCCAGCAAGCGTCTCCAGCGCCGGCCCTCGCCGCTCTCACTTGTGAGCTGTGTTGTTATAATCGTCCTGCGCCGTGGCCGGGAGGGAATGGTCTATCCTGAACTCTTCCTCCAGCCCGCTGGGTGCCTTCGCTGAATCTCCCCGGGCTTCGGGTTGGTGGCCGCCCGTCTCGAGCCCCAGGATCTGTCTCTGCACCAGCTTGGAATAAAGCCCTCCTTCTTCCATCAGCTCCTTGTGCGAGCCCTGCTGCACCACGCGGCCCTTGTCCAGCACAATGATGTTGTGTGCCTTCTCCACAGTGCTCAGCCTGTGAGCTATGACGAGCACGGTGTGGTTCTGCAAGTCGCCGTAAATCGCCTGCTGAATCTGCACGGGAGGAAAAGCTGTTAGTGCACGAGCATCGCTGGTACCACTTTGGGAGGGGAGGAGAGCAGCTTCGTGGCTCTGTGTTAAGAAATCTCTGGGCAGGTTTGCTCTCCTCTGGCTACGCAGAGGACACGAGAGCAGGACTCCCTGTAGCACTACCAGCACCGGCATGTCCATCCTGGCTCTCACTGCCTAGCCACAAATCCTCTCAGTCCAGCCAGCTCACGGATGCGGTATGCATCCATCCACTGCCAGGAAAGGGCTAGGGTGGTTAAATGACAGGTCTGCTCTTGCATGCTGGGCTCTCGTTAGAGCTGGGATGCAAATAAAGGCCACGCAGCGTTGGCACAGACTGCGGGAAGCCGATACCTGGGAAATGCAGCTGCTTAGAAAGGTGGGGCTGTTTCCTGGGAAGCTAACAAGGCAAACCAAGAGAGCTGCTTTCCAGCCAAGAGACAGACAAAGGCGCTAAGATCTGAAGGCTGGCAGATGGTCACCGGGCACACATCAAATTGACACCCCCAGCTATCCAAAACCAGCCCCAGGCCGGCATCAGATACCACACATGATGCTGAGGACAGTGCTCTGCTGCTGGTAGAGCCGTTTGGTTGTCACATCCCAGTGAGAAAAGCCACGGCACAGCTCACAGAGCTCAGGGCCCTTCCTGCAAGTATGGCTGGTTCGGTGCCTCAGCTGGGATTTCAGCTCGGGTAGTCCTACCCTGCCTCCTACAGAACCATTTTTAGAGTCTTTCTGTGTGTCTTGGCCCAAAAGGCTGCATGGTGTTGCTGTATGCCAGCTAACACTTCGCACACTTCAGCAGCTGGCAGGGATCCTGACCTGAGAGGGCTTGGCAGGCCCCGACACCCGGTCACCCACTCACCGCGTGTTCGCTCTCTGCATCCAGCGCGCTCGTGGCTTCGTCCAGGATGAGGATGGGGGGGGTTCGGATCAAGGCCCTGGCAATAGCCACTCTCTGCTTCTGGCCACCTGACAGCTGAGCTCCTTTTTCGCCTGCCTCTGTTGGATCAAGAGAGAAAAAGGGGGCAAAATAAAAATCAAGAGCTGCCACCAAGTTCAGCGCCCAGCCAACAGCACCAGGATGGTGGCACGCTTTGAAGCAAAGACCAGATAAATGCTACGGCTCCTGCTCACTTGGCAGATTAATTTAAATGTATTAAACACCTGCAAGGCTACAGTCCTTCCCTCCAGCAGCAAGTTCTCCGAGTCCCAGGGTGTGAGGGACTGATGCTCATGGAAACAACCAAAGGAGGAAGTCCCCAAGCCTGGGAGATCATCCAGGTCCCAGCTTCCCTCTCTGCCTTCTCATGGTTCCCTCAGGGTCAGGGCAAAGGGAGGGATGTCAGTACCTGTGTGGTAGCCGTCCTGTAGCTCCGTGATGAAGGCATGGGCGTTAGCCTTCTGGGCAGCCTGAACAACCGACTCGAAGGAGGCCGAAGCTAAGCCGTAGGAAATATTATCAGCAATGGAGCGAGCAAACAGCACCGGCTCTTGGCTCACCAAGGAGATCTGCAGAAGGAAAGGGAAGAGCAGGCAGTAAGGAGCTGGAGACACGACGTCTGACATCTCAGATCAGCAGCATTTCTTCCTGCCAGGTAAGGACTTGAGTGGGCAGAGCCACACCATTAAACAGACAGAAATTCTTCAACGTGAGCTTCCAGCGACGCTGGTACTGACAGGGTGCTGGGAGGCTGCTGCATAGGAAAGAAAACGCAGGCAGTGCTGGTATGTTGGCACCTCAGATGGGCACCCCCTGTCCAGCACCCTGCTGTGGTTTTGCTCCAGGCCCATCAATCCCAGCACTGTCTGCTCTTCCCAGTATAGGAAACCAGTTGCTGGGACAAGGCAGACCAGACAGACCTTCTCCCAAAATCTTGCTGATTTCCCGTTCAAGGCTAGTTGTCACAAATGGGCCCTGTGAATAATCCCCCCTGCGTCTTTTAATCCAAAATTAGGAAGTTCTGGACATAGCTGATGCAATTCCTTAATTGCTTAGCAACGGTCTCCCTGCCCCACTGTACAGCCATCGCTGCTCACTCTCAAATTCAGCCTTTGTTAAACAGCCTATATTGAAATAAATTGAACCCTCCAAATTATTGCTCAGAACGGGACGTGAAGAGAGCCAGCAGGATACGGTCATATTTTAATTGACTTCTCCCCATGCTCCTAACACCACACCAGGCCTGCTAAGCTGAAAGACTTGCTTGTCTTTTAGTTTTCACTCAGTACAGGCAGGGAATGTAAATTAGTCACACTGACTTTGGCTTTCCAGCCTGCTTCTGATCAATTGTTTTCAGGTTTTCCTGCTGACTCGCGAGGCCATTCACTCTGGGGGCAAACAAAGCGGGCAGTTACTTGCAGAGGAGATGGAGACTGATCTGTGCTGACACGCAGACAAGAGCCAAGGGGCCCAAACCCCTCTCTCCTGGGGAAAGCACCCAGCCCCTCCACTGCTCCCGCTGCTGCTGGCATCTTGAGCAGTTTAAATCCCAAAATCTCATCTGAGAATTACTTTAAGATCTTAAGGTAGAACATGCTGGAGGACTGTAAAACACTTTTTCCAAACTCAGTTTAGACTGTAATTAATCAAACAATGAAAACTGTATTTCTAATGAGTTGTCCAAAAAATACAAAAACACAACATGTTCCTTGTGCTGGTTTTGGAAGACTTCCCCCTCCCCACGAACCGATCACTGCCCCTTTCCCTTCTGCCCCCACAATCTAAATTTGTTTCCTGGGCCACCTCCAGCTTTCCGGACATTTCGGAGGCTGCCAGCTCAAATCCACAGCCACATGCACCACTGCCATCCATCCCCTCCGACCACAGCAGGCGCTAGCTAGAAGACACGTAGCAGTCGCTCGTACCACTGAGTGCAGGTACTTGTGATCGTACATGTTAATGGGACGCCCGTCGAGCAGCACCTGCCCGTCTTGCAGAGGGTAGAAGTTCTCCAGGATGTTGACGCAGGAGCTCTTCCCGCTGCCCGAGGGGCCCACCAGCGCCGTCACTTTGCCGGGGTGCAGGGTGAAGGACACGTTCTGCAACACGGATGGGAGAGTGTGGTCAGGTGCTGGCCTTCACCCAGGTCCTGGGGCAGTGCTTTGGGCACTGAGCAGGGGATTTAGCCAAATTGTGGTCCCCACCGTGATGGTGAGCTGCTTCAGACATCTCGCCTGCAAAAGACTAGCTGTTTGCTTCTCCTCCCAGCTCCCTTCCTCTGAGGAAGCAAGAAGCCTGCAAACTCACTTTGAATTTGCCTGCTTGCGTGGCAGGACCTCCAAAAACTGCACGGCTTTGCTGTCTCACCCTGCCCTGTGACCCCAGCCCCTCTCTCACATGGAAGCAGCCTGAGACAACTTGGCACAAAGCCCTGTACCACGCTGACGTGTTCAACGTCTGAGCTGGGAACAAGGGTTTTATTAATAAAACTCCTTCCCTGTAAGGAAAGGCAGCTCTGGACACCCACTGTTCATTATGATCTGTTTGCCAGCATCCCACTGAGCCTGCCTTTACGCATCTCCAGAAGGGCAGCTGACCTTCCCTGTGGGCTGGGGATCAATTATTGTCGTGACAGAGGAATATCGTGATAGGAATATCCTCCTGATGGGGAGCTCTTCGCGCTGTTGGGGCTCACCTGGAGGACCTGCGTGGCAGAGCGAGTGCGGTAGGAGAACGTCACGTTTCTGAACTCCACCTTCCCATCCACGTGGTCTGGGGCCAGAGACCCGTCGTTCACCATCGTTGGCTTGCGGTCGATGAACTCGAACACCTTCTCAGCAGCTCCCACCCCCTGCATCAGGCCGCTGTAGACGGAGCCCACGGACTGGAAGGGAAGAGGCAACGATGAAACCCTCTCACATGATGGAAACAGCAATCACAGCCACTCATAAGGAGAGTGGTCAAAGTGTTTCCAAACCCATCACCTGACGTTAACTAGAAGCAGACAGAGAAAGAAAGCTCTTACCCTCACCCAAGGCTTATTCCTCTCTGGAATAACGCCCCATCACGCTGGCCCTTCTCTGTTAAACCCAGAACTGCTGAACAGCCTGTACTGCAACTGCCCCTCCCATCGGAGGAAGAAAAAAAAAAAAAAAAACCCAAACCATACGAAACGCACACCAAAACCACAGCCTGGAAACACCACCAGAGCCTGCAGTTATCAGCACAGATGGTGAGAGCTGGGCGAGCTGTCTCCGGCTCTGCTCTGTCACTGAAGCACCGCTGAAACCAAACTTGGCTGCGAGGAAACCTGGACTTGCTAATTTCTGCCTCAATTAGCCAAAATGACACCTTGGCGAGGGGGAGGCAGCCCCGGGTGGGCTCCACCATCCCACCCACAATCCCAGCTCGCTAACGCGCTGCCAACGCAGCAGCTTGCAGCCTGTTCCAGGGAAGTTTTAAAAAAAAATAAAGTAATGTAATTAAGCTCTTAATGAACCCTGAAATTTAACAGGCAGACGCACAATCTCGGCATCCTTCATACCAGGAAACGTGCTTGGGAGACAGCCAGGATTCTCCTGTTCAGCGGGGCCAGCCCAAACCTTTTGGTGCTGATTGCCTTATTGGTGCTGAGCTGCTCTGGGTGCTTTCAGGTGTCCAGGCGTTAGCAGTGGCTGTGTTTGTGGGGCCACAGTGGGATGGGAGTGGGGAGCAGAGGGCACACAGGTGGGCAAAGCCACCCGTGTGGTAGGGTAGGCAACACTGGGTCTAATCCTGCAACTGCAGAGATTGGGAACATCTGGAAGTTGAACATCACCTTGATACGGGGTGTCCCAGAGGGATCAGGCTCACCTCCATGCAGTCTCCCAAGACGAACTCATAAATGATGAAGGATATCAGGTTTCCGCTTGTCATTTGCCCAGAGATCACGAGGTGCCCGCCGTAGTAAAGGATGCTGACCTGGACCACCAGGAGGGTCAGCTGAAAGCAAGCAAACAGCCCCAAATCAGCAAGGACGACTGACGTTTTGGTGTCGCTGTAGTTACCCACACAACAGCCCACAGCTCAGGAGCTGGCATTTATTCTTTGAGCCCCAAACCAAGCATCCTTGACAGCGCATGGCTGACAGCAGTGAGGATGGATATGAAAAGGGAAAAACAACTCAGGTACTTGGGCTGGGATCTTTCAACAAAACGGGAGTCCAGGGGGGCAACATCCAAGGAAGGAGAATTTATCTGAAATCACAGTGCCTCATCGATGTCTCTTGGGCTAATATCCTCAAGGATAATGATCCATGCTCGAATTACCCAACACATGCAGTCACCTCGCCACTAAAATAAACTCTGTTATATGACTGTGACACATTTTAATTTAGAGCACCAAACCCAGCCAAGAGCTAATGCACAAAATCCCTGCAGCACAACCTCAGCTCTCGCTTGAGATCAGTGTGTGGGGGTGCCACCTACTCCGCGGAGACAGCTCAGCCCTGACGTGACAGATAACAGCCCCGTGCCTTTAGTCAGCCTGCTTCTTTCCACGCAATGCCCAGCGCTCTGCGCAACGTTTGCCACGCAGGCTGCTGCTGGGGAAAAAGTTCCTTTGCTCTCCACCAAGATCTGACCTTAAGATCCTCAGTTTCCTCCGAGAAAGGCTCCGCGAGGGCTGTGCTAAATCTGTCAGCTTCTTTTTACGTGAGCCCCACAGGAGCAGTTTTGATGGTTTTGGACTCCTTTGATTCAGCGGGATCTGTTCTGACCCAGTTCTTGCCACTGGCTTCACCTGGTTGTGCAGGAACAATGCTAGAAATGCTCCGATTTTGCTTCCAGCTTTGGGAACCCATAAGCCTCCCACAGCTGCACGAGGGCGTCATACCTCAAAAAACCTTTCAGCAGCATCCCTGAAGTCGTGTGGGTAAGGGCAGCCCAACACGAGGGCTTTGCACTGCCTTAGCTGCTGGTGCAGAAGCCCTGGACCATCTGGTCCCAAGCAGTGAAAAAAACACTGCAAATAAAAATAAAACACAACAAAACAGAAATCAGCAGCCTCCCCTTGCCACTGCCCCCACACAGAAGATCTCTGTTTCTGAGCAGAGGCTCAACCAACGCAGCGGCTGCTTCCTGGCTGGAGCAGCCGGAGATGAGCTGGCACAGGCATGCAATGCAGCAGCCCGAAAACACGGGGTTTTCCACGACCTTGAGCAGTTATCAGTGATATTTTTATTTACAGAAGAAAGCAGACTGCTCAGTGGCGTGATGCAATGCTGCCCTAAGGGGGAACGGAACCGTATTTTCGATGAGTTCAAAAAAAAAATTAAAAAAATATCAAGAGATGGTGGTTTACTAGCAGCAGACACCAAGGCTGGGCTCATCCCACAGAGCTCCGGGAGAGCGTGGAGCAGCACGGACATCACACCACGCGTGGTTTGTCACCTGAAGTGATGTCCCCTGCCCGTCCCTAGTGCTGGTCACCTACCCCGCTGGACCACACGTAGTAGGTGTAAGCCAGGGCCTCGCGCTTGTTCAGTTTGTACACCTGCTGCAGCTTCTGCCAGTACACGTTGGCCTCCGCCTCCTCGTTTGCAAAGCTGCGGACGGTCTTCATGGCTGAGATGGTCTCCTCGGCGGTGTTGTTGGCCTTGGCCAGGGCATTCTGCACGTCCTTGGAGAGTTTCTGCAGGGAGCAGGAGCAGAGGGAGCTCAACACACATCCAGCTGCCCTTTCTCAGGCTCAGGAGAGGGCACGGGGGCATTTTCCAAGGCTATGGACTGAGCCAAGGCTGAGCACTGGGATGCATCCCCCACCTCAGGACAGTGGGGCACGTGGTGTAAGACTCGTGTGGGCTGTGGTATTAATCATGGGGGACAGACCTTTGGCATGGAAATAGAGCTTGGGGCTAGGTTTAACCCTCCACCCGAGTCACTCCAAAGGGAGAGGAGAGGAGAGGACATTCAGCAGATGAACGAGCAGGCACATATGGGACATCTTGTGGGTAAGCTACCTCTCCTGTCAGCTCCTGAGCATGAAGGTAACAGCCAGGCCTATGCTAATCTGCCCACATAGGTGTAACACTGTCCTTCTGCCCCCACTGCAGCCAGCAAAACACCCCAATATCAATCCCTGCAGCTCCAAGGCCACCCACAATCCCCACAACAGCTTCCCAAGGGGGCCAGCCCAGTGCCATGGCACACGACAGCCACACCAGCCCCTCCTGCCTACCTTGTAGTACTTGCCGTAGACGTCGGACACCAGCATGATGATGGGGAAGCCCATGAAGGTGACGAGCGAGAGCTTCCACGAGAGGCTGAACATGAAGAAGATCACCCCCGTGGCCTTCACCACGTTGCGCAGGAAGATGTTGATGTTCTGGGAGACCAGGTCGCTCACGATGGTCGTGTCCGACGTCAGGCGGGAGATGACGTCCCCTGCAGGACCGAGGGGTTGGGGAAGGGAGAGAGGGGACATGTCACCGTGACAGGTCAATGCCTGGCCGTGTCCCATGTCCTGTGATGGGACCACACACAGCAGTCCTGGCAGATGGAGCTCCTCATCCAGCCTAGGCCCTGACTCGGGGTTTGCTGAACAGCGTGGGTGAGGATCCACAACAGTGGATGTGAAGCAAAGCAGAGGAGCTCAGGCTGCTGGATGCACACGGGACACAAAATGCATCCAAAAGCACAAACTACATCTTCGTGTCACTGAGGACATCTGCAGAACCAAGGGGACTGCCTCCGTGCTATACCCTGGAGGGCACCCCGTGGGCACACAGGCTGCCACGTGGGTGTTCACTGGGCTGAACCCCCCTCTGGAGCTGTCACCCCAGCCCCCAGCTCATTTCTGAATGATGCCAGGAGCCCTCCACGAGCCTGCCAGGGGCTGCTGGCACCTTTCCCTGCTGTCCTCGCAGGACCAGAAGCACTCCTGGCACAGCACGCCCCGCAGAGCACGAGGCAGCTTTGGGTTTAGCTGTGTGTCCTGCAGCCTGGAGGAGGCCCAAGTGACCTGGAGGATGTGGGTGTGACAACTAAGGACAAAGCTCCTGCAGTGGAGATGAACATTAAGAGCCAGCAAACACCACCCTGAATTTCTAAGTACTTGGCCTGTCTTCGAGTGCAGCCAGGGCCGAATCCCCGTACTGAGCAACTGCTAGTCCAGGGTTACTGGATCCCACTTCCAATAACATCTCCAGTGTCCTCAGCTACCAGGGCAGCTTGCAACGATTGCTAAATACAGCGGTAACCTCAAAACTAAAAATATCGCCGGGAAGAAATTAAGTGTGGGAAAAGTTGCAGCCGACTGGGACCACGCCAGAATGACACAGCCGGGGACGGGACTGAGTGGCAAGCTGGGAAAGCCACAAGCAAGCACAGCAAGCTTTACACGCCCAAGGTTTCCAGTGCCTGGAGCAGAGATGGAGGGCAGCCGATCAGTGGGAACTGAAGGGAGGTGCAGGAAGGGGAAAGGAGGTGTTTTGGAGATGAGATGGCCAGAGATGAATGTGTCAGCCCCAGGGCTGCTGGATGTCAGGCTGGTTGGTGGCAGAGTGACATCCTCCAGGTGCTGGGCAATCCTGACCCCATGGCAGGGAGGTACCCAAAAGGTTGAAAAAATAAATAAAATAAAATAAAATAAAATAAAAGCTTTCTATCCCCATTTCTAAACACGAGCATTTGGGTGCCACCTCCAGGAGGGCAAACCAAGGGGAAAAATACCGTACGCTGGGACGGGATGGAGGGACTAGAGCAAACCCAGGGGAAAGGGGAACCCACCTGTACGGTTCTCATCAAAGAAACTCATCTCTTGGGACACCAGCGACCTGAAGAGGCAGTTGCGGAGGCGGATGTTCAGCCTTGCAAATATGAGCGTAAAAACGCCGCCCCGGATACCTGCGGCAAATGAGCTAATTGCAGATAAGAAACGTTATAGACCAGTGGACACGAAACCCACTCCTCAGCAACACAAACACACCAACGCCCACGCCGAGGGCTTGGGCAATGCTGTGCCGGTACCGTTTCCACCCCGGGAAGTGATTGATGGTGTTACCAACCCCACAAGGGGGCACTGGTCCTAACCCCAGCAATGACACCCGTCAGGACGGGACATGGGGCTGCCAGGACAACCTTCCCTGGGGGGCCCATCCCCTGTGCCTGTTCCTGCTCCCCACCACCACCACGGCCTCGCAGCGCCAAGAAGCACCGAGACACCAAAACGCATCCCTGGGCGCCAGCCCCCGCGATTACCTTCCTATGGCGAGCAGCGACATGACCAGCACGGCCGTGGAGAAGCGGTCCATGCTCTTCTGCACCACGATGCCATCGATGGCCAGCCCCGTGTAGTAGGGCAGGAAGGTCTCTCCTGTACGGGAACACAGGACGAGAGGTTACAGACACACCACAGGACCTGCATTCCCAGCCACGAAGGCCCTTGGCCAACCCCATCCCCACCACGGAGATATTCATACCTCACATGAGATGTACCAGGAGGCACAGCCCTCAGCAGCACACAGACATCCCATTTCCCATTGCATTTTATCCTCCACTGTACATTTTTCCCTTTTAATTATTCCCCCAGCCCGTTTAGGAGGTGTCACCCATCTCAGGAGCCCCCCACGTGGCTCCTTCCCTCCCGACGAGGGGCAGAGCACCCCACATCCCCCTCCAGCCCCTTTGCTCACCCAGCGCAGCCACCAGGAGGAAGAAGGAGGCGATGCCCAGGAAGAAGGCGTCCGGCTTGGTGTACGACAGCAGCTTGTGGATGGTGGGACCCGCCGCCTCCTCCCTCTTGTCCCGGGGGGCATCGCAGCTCTCCTCCGCCTCGGTGCGGGACTCGGAGCCATGCCCCAGCGCCTCGCGGGAGGACGTCACGCAGGCCAGCAGCTGCCACAGCCCGAAGGTGGCCGCCAAAGCCACGTAGGTCCAGGCAAAGAGCCCCCAGAACCAGGGGTCCTTGATGGTCCTGCGCACCTCGGAGTAGAGCAGCAGCTTCACCATCATGTAGATGCCCATGAGGAGGCAGACGACGGCGATGAAGGTCCGCGAGGCCCTGAGGCGCCGGGGGCCGTAGGCTGTGTTGGTGGCCACCCCGATGGAAGCCCCCAGCAGCACGCAGCTGCGGTAGAGGCAGCCCCCCCAGACGTCCAGCAGCGAGTTGAAGATGTTGAAGTGCCTCAGGTCCTGCAGGATGTCCCGGCCGCCCCGGCCGTGGGCGTAGAGCAGCGTGGTGACCACCACATCGACCCCGCTCAGCACCAGCGTGCTGGCCACCGCCTTCCAGGCACGCATCCTCCCGGCCGGGTTGGGAGCCACCGAGGCGGTGGGAGGGGACGGTTCTAGTGCAGGGAGGACATGGCCACGGTGTCCTCTGCGTGGGGTGAGAAGAAGGGGATGGGGTTGGCGTTCGCCACCGGGAGGTGGTGGGGAAAGGGGAGCAGGGTGCGAGTGCCTGTAGGGGAAGCCATGCCAGCCGCCCAGCATCTTGATCCCAAACACCGCTATCTGTTCCTTCGTCCCCTCCTCTTCCCCTCTGTATCTCTCTGAAATATTTCATGGAATTGGAAGCCCAAATGAAGACAAATTCCCCCTCCCACATCTCTCCATCCATCCTAAATCCTAAGCCTGAAACCTCCCCTTGCATCTCAGTGGGAAACTTCATCCTCGCTTGCTGTGATGGCCCCAGGCCCACCCCAAGGTCCCAGCTGGGCGATGCCGGGACACGGGCACAGGGCCACGAGGCCAGGACATCTGTGCAGCCCTCGTGCCCTGTGCTATGGAGCCGTGTGGTTATTGAACACAGATATTTGGGATCTGAGGGTCCCTTCCTGCTTTCCCTGGGAGGGAGCTGAAATCAAGCACTTGATCAAAACCCTATGAAACCGTATCAAAGCAGAAGGGAGAGCAGCTCTGCTTTGTAACAGCTTCTCCTCTTCGAAAACCAAAAAAAAAAATGCATTATCTCCAAAAAATGCATTATCAGTGATGTCTTGAGGCCCCTTCCAACCCCTACAATCCTGTGATTACAGCTCCAGGAGCCACAGCACCCTCCCAAATAACCATTTGGGGCAACCCTCCGAAGGTGCTGCATAAAATTCGGAGGCTGCATAAAATTCATTAAAAAAATCACGAGGGAAAACTACAAAGCAGCTGGAAACCCACGACCGCATCCCACGGGAGAGGGAGGCTCCGAGGCGGGACACCGCCCTTGCTACCACGCGGAGCTCCGACCCCACGCAGGGATGCTTGGGACCGGCTCCGAAGTGACATAAAAAGCAGTAAAAAAATAAAAATAAAAAAGCAGGACTTCCTGAGCCATGCCCAGAGGTGCTGCGCTTCAGGACGAGGCAGCGTGACCGATCCACGCGGGAGCAGCCCCGTGGAGCAAGGAAGGGCCCTACAAAGGCCCCCCGCGATCCATGGGCACCGGGGCGTTGCGGGGTCCACGGAGAGCCCTTTTGGGCTCTCCGTGGACCCCGCAACGCCCCGGTGCCCCTGTATGGGGTCTTGCCCCACCCCAGCATCCTCCCACCCACCTACCCGCACAACCCACGCAGCAGCTTTTCCCCGCGCCGCACCCCCTTTTCCCACCAACCACCACCTCCGCCCACCCCTCCGTGCTCCGGCCATTCCTCAAAAACCCCCAAAACCGGCGCGGAGCCCCCAAAACCCTCCCAAATCCCAACCCACGCAGCGCGCCCCAGCCCCGTTCCCTACCTGCGGCGGCTCCGGCGCCGGCGCGCCCGCTGCGGGAGAAGGTCGCGGGTGGGCGGGGCTTATCCCAATAGGCCACGCCCACATCCCCCTTAGCCACGCCCCCTCGCTGCGGCGCTTTCCCGCCGGCGCCACCGTGTGCCGGGAACGGGGAGTGACCAAAGGAGGGGGGGGGCACCGGTGTCGCCCTCCGGTATCACCCCCCCGGTGTCCCCCAGCCCTGCACCGCCTTGGCTAGGTCAGCCTCAGGGTCCCCCCCCGCACCCTGCAAAATTTCACAGAATTTATTTTATTTTTGGGTAGGAAAGAAGAGGGAAAAGATGAAAGGGCCCTAAACTGGGCTTGGTGGGGTTTTATATGGACCCCAAATACAAGGAAACGTCAAACCCGGCTTGATGGGGTCTTAAATTAGCCCCTAATAATTAACCCCTACTACAAGGAGTGCTGCGAGGGGTCTGTTTTCAAGAAATTCGGCTTATAAATGTTTTTAAGCCCAGACAAGCTCGTGCCAGCACTCAGCCTCTTCCCTGCTCAGCTCCCAGGTGGGGGACAAGTGACACCGGGGTGGCCTGGGTCAGGGGTCCTAGCACGGGACTTTAACAGGGTCTGCAACCCTGGCAGTGCGGGATCTATGAGATTCCTGGAGTTCACCCCCTGTCTGGGGAGAACAGAAGGAAGAAGGCAGTTTTCTCCGCCCGGATAACCAACAAATGAGAATCTCGCGTTTCGTTGTCGATTTTAATTCTGCTACTGAGTGCTCACAACTAAACAGCTCGCTTCAAGCCATCCCCACGGCCACAGGGATGCAGCCAGACCTGGCGTGGCTCTTCCCGGGTCGGGCTGCCAGCGGGGAGGGCAGATTTAAGCCGGAGGAAGCAGACTGCAACCTGGTGAACGCCGCCTCCTTTCTGGTCCTTCCCCTTTCTGCCCCCAGATCGCTCCCCAGGCCTCAGTGCACTGATTCCCGTGTTCCAGGAGGAGCCTCTCGGCACCACCGAGCCCCCTGCTGCCCCCAGACGAGGATGGTGCCACTTCTCTGTGCCGTAGGGATGGTCCAAACCCGGACCAGGAAGGGATGGAGCAGAGCCCCTTGTCTGAACCTTCCCTTTCCTCGCTCCCCAAGACAGAGTGGGTGTGTCCACGCGCTGGGCTCCCACACAGCTGGGACACGACCCTCGGGAACAGTTCGCTCTGCTGGCCCCAGCCCCGCAGGACCCCCAGAAACGCCCCAGCAGTTAACTGGTTTTCTTCCCCCCGGCCATGCTCTGCTCAGGCGGCAGGACTGTCTCGATTTGGAAGGACACAAACTGGCCCTTCTTCAGCTTCTTGAGGGGAGAGGTACCATTGCTCCCAAACACGTTGTCTTCCACTTTGAAGGCGAGAGAGGGCAGGCCCCGGCTTTTCCTCTTCATGCTCTTGCGCTCCCGCTTGTAGGCTGTGGTCATGTTGGCGATCACCTGGAAAGCAGAGGAGAGGCTGCTTAAAAATCAGCTCAGCCCTGCTGCAGCTCTGCGGGCAAAAGCTGTACCGACAGCGTCAGCACTGCTGGCGGCACCTCGAGGCACGGGAGGGACCAAACGAGGTCTTTCCACCTCATCAGCCCCAAACTCGCAGAACTCATGGTAAGAAATGACAATTTGTGGCTGTGCTCAGAGTTCTCCATCAGTAGAGGGCAGAATGGGATCTAGGCTGGAGCTTCAGGAAGCTCCGAGCACCTCCTGTCAACCACAGCTCCTGCTCCTGCCCCGTTTGCAGGTGGTACCAGCGACCCGGACACCAGACAGGGCAGGACACCTCAGTGTGACCTCGTCTACCTTTTTTTTTTGGCACACAGGTCTCCAAGCACTTCCCAAAGGACACTGAGGCGATTTTTTGAGGCAGGAAACTAAGACACGGAGACAAAACACTTTACCCAAGGTCTCCCCACAAATTAGAGCCAGCCAGGAACTGAACGCTGGCCTCGCTCCCTGAATCCAGCCCACGGGGCCGCCGGCCTTCATGGGGGAGAGCCCACAGGCAAGGGACTCCTGTGGGGTGGCATTTCTGGACAGACAGGGGGCTTGGCAGCAAGACTTACGATTTCTTTCACAGCATTCTGCTGCTCCTGCACGGCAGCTGTGAACGGGGGGAGGCCGTCTGCCTTGCTGGAGCTAACGCCCTGCTCCTTGGAGTCCTTGACGAAATCCACCTGCAAGGCACAGACACGTGGGCGTCACCCCGTCACCGCGCCAGCACCAGAACCTCCTGCATGACTCCGCTCCACTGAGCGGTTACCTCAGAGGACAGGCAGACGTATCTGTTGAACATGAGGAAGAAGGGGGTGTACTTGGTGGCGGCGTTGACCGAGGTGCGGAAATCGAAGAGCACGGGGTCGAGGTGGGCGTCCCACTCGCCGGGCTTCTCGCTCACCACGCTGCAGATGGAGGATCTCAGCACCTCGGCGCTGCGCTCGTCCAGGCTCGCGCAGTCAGCGGGGTCTGCGGGGGTGAGGATCTGTGAGATGTTCCAGCGCTCGCACAGATGCCGGCTGACCTGCAAAGGGCACCGCAGCAGTGAGCGGCCTCCCCGTGCCACGTGGCTGCAGGGGGAGGCACTCACAGCACTGCTTGTAGCAAAAAAAAAATGGAGCAGAAACGCTCCCCGAAGCCTGAGGTACTACAGGAGAGGGAGAAAGGTGTTAGCGGGCATGGCAAGCTCGCTGGAGAAGTCATGGCCTGACCAAGTATTTTGCAACAACCTTTGTAACTGAGCTTGAGGCTTCTCACAGCACTGGCAAACTGGGTTAATCCCAGCGTAGGGCAGAAAGCTCAGGGGCATCATCTCATGGGACTCTTCCTTCCGAGCAGAGAGGCTGCAGTGCGCCTGGAGAACTTGCACCACCCGACTACGGCCTCAGATCCCTACAGGGTGAAAGCTTTGGAAAGCACCTACAGGGTGGGAACAGGGCTGGGGCTGGGAGGTGGCAGCAGCAGCTCCTTGCACCCCGTGCACGGCGCGCTGTGGCTCTGCCTGTTGGACCTGCTGTCTAAAAAAAGCTTGAGATCACGTTGCTTTCCCCTGAACCACCCAGCGTGTGACCTACCTCCTCGCAGAAGTCCCAGCTCTGACTGGCGTAAATGTTCTTGGACGCTCCGAACCTGAACAAGAAGAGGACACACAACTGGTTTTACTCCACAGACCACAAAGCAGAGCAGCCGATCCTCACAGGAAATGGGGTACAGGAGGGACAGAGGGTCCCCAGTGGGGAGAGGCAGGCGTGACCTCGCCTTGCCGTGAGCAGGGAGAGCTCTGCTGCCCGTATCTGTTCTGAAACAGCCAGGCCTGTTTGTTCAGGAATGATAAGGCAGCAGGAGAAGCAAGCAAAGTTTCTTGCTCTGAATGCAGTCTCTGCTGGCCCCACACATTTTCCACCAGGTACTGTGGTGAGGGGCACTACACAAGTGCAAAACAAACGCCTCCTGGGAGGGATCAGGGTACAGGTTAGAGCTTCTGCAGGGAACTGGGGCACAAACTCTCCTGACCTTGGAGCAATGCAGAGAATCATTTCTGCCTCTTTCTCCCTTCCCCTGCTAACAGGAGGAGACCAAGGACTTTGTAAAGAGCAAATGCAAGGCACTGCATGGCCTCTCCTGCAGGAGAGAGCGCGTGCTCTTGTGGGGAACCATCTTGTGGACACAGATCCTATCTGCAACACTTCACAGTGCCCCACCTCACTGCAGAGGCACAGTGTAACTGACAAGAGAAGAGCCCACCTGTAAAAAATCGTAGCTAGGGCTTTAGCCACTGACAAGGGATCTTTCTTCTGCAGAGGAACAGCCTCAATCCACTTAGTGAAATAGTCGGTCACAAGGAGGACATGTGTATTGCTCTGGCTTGTCTCAGGAAAAGGTCCTGCATAAACAAGCACCAAGAAAAATCAACATGATGCCACAACATCGCCCAAACGAGGAAGGTAAAAACCAAACCTAGCAAAACAATTGCTGCAACAAGGCAAACAACCCTGATTCTGTTTGGCTGTCGTTTAGACAGTACAGCTCTGTGACCTTTGTCATCAAAAATCCACCCAGCACAGCCTCAATCCTGAGAAGCAATGCACGCCCACAACTCCCATTGTGTGTTGAGTGGGAACCCTGCCAGTCCCTGGATCAGGTTGCACCTCGGGTAAGCTGCTACGGCCTCCGTGACACCTCCTCACCGCAGAGCTAGGAGGCTTTCACTCACGTGTGGCCCTAAGTCTGCCACGCTTCCTGACGGCTGGCGCGGAAGCCCTGAAGAGCCTGTTTGACAGCCGCAAACACTCACCGTGAACATCTAATCCCAGCACTTCCCAGGGAGATTCCACTTTAACAGGTCTGGCTTTCCGTGATACGTTCTTGTTGTGTTCCGCATTCTGGCATGTTTCGCACATTTTGATCTGGGAAAGGAAAAATTCGTATCAAAGGACTTTATAATAGGCTGACAATTTCCGTCAGATTCGGACTGAACAGGTTATGAATAGGTAGGAGGGGCAGTAACTGTGTACAACTTCCTTCTACCCTACAAAAATAATGGGACAAAAGAGAAAGAGGACAAAAAACAACAGGCTGACACAGTTCACCTCTGACAAACCTCACCCAGACAGATTTCACAGATGCAATAACCAACTTTCTGAATGTGATCTATACCAAAGACATTTCTCACCCCGCTTTGGAGCAAATATTTACTGTATTTTAAACTTCTACTGGCTAGAGAAATTGTCAGCCCCAGGGTGCTGGAGGGGCATGGGCTGCTTGGACCACGCAACATAACCGCACTTCTCCAAAGCAGGCCGTGCCGCAGAGCCCTCCTGGAGGGGACTTTCAGCAATACTCTGGGTGAGGCACAGCAGCCCGGAGGAGCTGATGGCAACACCAAACAGCTCTCATTGCAATAGTTTAGTGACCTGAGGAGCTCTGGCAGGAACCCATCCTGCTCAAAGCCAATCCCACGTTCCCATCCTGCCCAAAAGTGCCCTGCATGAGGATGCCAACCTGTGCAGGCTTCCTGAGGCTCTGGGGAAAGACACCCAATTTACCCAGCCGACTCAGGCCATTCCAGCAGTTTCACCTAGCAGATGGCTTCAAAGCAAGAGCACCAGAAACAACCCCCCCCTGCATTAGGGCTCCTCCAGCTGCTCCCTGGGGTCTCCTGCCTGAACCCTTTGGGATACGCTGGTGGCACAGCCACAGCCGATGCTCCGCACTCACCCAGTCCACCACATCCTTCACGATGCCCAGCCAGTAGTAGCGGCTCTGGATGCGGTGCACGGTCTTCTTCTGGCCCAGGTGGTTGCCGATCTCGGTGAAGTGGCTCTCCAGGAAGACCTGCCGCCTGCGCTCGGGGTCCACGATCACCTCACGCTTCTCCTCCTTCTTGGGCCCCACAGTAGTAGAGGCAGCCGCCTGCGGATGGGCAGGGAGAAGACATTTTAGTGCCACACGCCTCATGCTTGCTGTCCCCCTTACCCCACACCCCACAAAAACCCCCACCCCACAGCGACAAAACCCTACTGCAGGCAGCATCACACCCCTCACACACACACACCACCTGGAGGCCCCCATCACCCCAAAACCACCTCACAGACCCCCGGAGGGGCAAAATTCCTGTCAGCACGCCCCCCCCCCCCCATACACACACACTGTGAGGCGGCTGTTTGGGATGGGGGGAGGGGGGTGGCTGCCCACCATCGAGGACGAATTTCTGGGCGTAGCGCTTGAGGTTCTTCCTCTGGATGGAGCAGAAGCTGGGCGGGAAGCAGCCGTCGGCCAGCAGCCGCTGGATGTCGGCGAACTTGCTGCTGGGGACCGCCCGGCTCGGCCGCCGCCGCCGCCACCACCTCCTCCTCGGCCACCTGCAGCGCCGCCTCCATGCTGAGGGGAACCGTGACGGGACCCCCCCCGTGCGCGCTCCCGCCTCCGGGAGCCTCCGGGAGCGCGCACCCCTTGCCGGGAGCGCGCCCCGATTCCCCTCAGCCCCTCCTCAGGAGCCGCTGCTCAGGGGCCGGGCGGGAACATGGCGGCGGCGCGGCCGTTCCGGGCTTGCTCCTGTTTCTTCTCCGCTAACATCTTCGTGAGGCGCTGCGGGCTGCACGTTCGGTACCGCCACCGGGAGCAGCTCCTCAGCGACTACGGGACGGTAACGGAGGAGGGCAGCGGGCAGAGGGCGGGGGGGATATCGGGGTTCGTCCCACTCCCCCCCCCCCCCCCCCCCCCCGGGTCGTTGCTCACCGCCGTGTGGGTTGCAGGAGCTGAGGGAGCGCGGCTGCGGTAGCCCTGAGGTGTTGGAGGATGTGGTGAGGGAGGTGAGCGGCGAGGGGACAATTGGGGGACATTGGGGGACAATAGGGGGAGTTGGGGAGGGGGCTGGGGGTCGGTCTCTGGGCGTAGGTGGTTGTGGTAGGGCTGAGGGAATGGCCTCAAGTTGTGCCAGGGGAGGTTGAGGTGGGAAATTAGTGTTCAGGTTGGAAATTTCGAGGTGTTTCTCCTCAGAAAGAGCAGGCAGGCATCGGGACGGGTGGCCCAGGGAGGTGGTGGCGGCACCATCCCTGGGGGTGTTCGAGGAGAGGTTGGATGAGGTGCTTGGGGACGTGGCTCAGCGGTGACACTGGTGGTGTGGTGATGTTTGGGCCAGCTGATCTCAGATCTCATTTCCAACCCTAACAATTCCGTGATCCTGCTCGGATCAATTCCCTGGCTCCCCAGGCCAGCGAGCTGTCAAACAGCCGGCTCCAACTCCACCCCTCCTTCCTCGTTTTCCCAAAATGTGCCATAACTAATCTCACGGCGGGTTATTAAAGATGAAGAGTTACCCAAATCAGCTGCTGCTCCAGCTGTTCGGTCTGCGATGACAGATCAGCCTGTCCCGACAGCGCTTAGCAGTAATCCCTTCGTGACAAGTCTGGTCTCCTTCCTAGCAAATGTCTTCATCTTGGACAGGGCTTGTGCTGTCAGGATGTAAGCCAGGCTCTCAAGGCGTAGGCCGGTGACTCACGAGGTGTCAGAAATGCCTGAAAGGGTTGAAAACTTGCAGCTCCACGTGACATGTCCATGGAAAGGCTTCAGTTATTTTTTTTAAGCCATCCGCTGTGAGAATGCGTCTCAAATCTCTCTTAGGAATTTGAATTTTTAAATATTTATAGGTTTTGTCTTGACTACAGAAAAGCAAGGCACGTACTCTGTCTCCCAGAGGTACACTGAACAAAAATAATTGGTTTGAAACAATGAGCAGGTTCTTTGAATTGTTTTAGTTATCCATTTGGATTTTCTAACGAGATGCTGTTTATTCCTAGATCGAGGCAGAAGTGCAGAGAAGAAAGCAGCTAATCCATCAGTCGGCAGAACGCAAAGCCATCATCGCCAGCCGTTACAAACGAAAACACCCCGAAGTGTATGTTCTTCAGGTAGACACTGGGTTTGAAATCTATTTTGAACCCAAGGAGCTGGCTGAGGGTTTGTTTTTGCAGTAGGGAGCCCTCTTGTCATTGGGATTGTGCGCAGTTCTAGAGCTGTGGCAGCCTGGCTCATTCTCCAGGCAGGATTCCGCCAGGTTTGTAGCCGGATGAGGGTCGTTCGTTGTTAAAGCTGCACCAGCACCCGGTACTCAGCTCAGAATACCATCAGTAATTTGGATCTGAAGCATCCCTGCGGCACACAGGGTTAGTGAAGGCTGAGGGACAGCTACAGCAATCCGGCTTTTATGCCCATAACTCACAGAGAAGTTCCGAGTTGCTCTCAGCTGGAGGCTGGCAGCCGGCTGCCTGCCTGTGTGCACCCCTCCCTGAGTTGCTCTGTTGTGCTGAGGCCAGGACAAGATGTGAAATCCTTTAGGAATGACTTTGCATTTATCCGTTAGGTGTCCACGCTGTGAGTCAGGCTCTTTCCCATCATGTGAAGGATAAATCTGGTCGGTTATATTTAGAAATACTCACAGACTACAGGAAAACACAATTTACTAAACCACTAAAAACACCAGTATCGTTTTCTGCCACAAAAGTAACCCAAGTCTCACCATCAGCCTTGCTCCCTAGACTCTATAAAGTTTCTATGCCTTTGTGGAAGCCCGTTTCCCTCTGGGGCTGTAAAAGACAGCGCAAGCTAATTGTGTGTCTGTTTGTATTTGTCTTCCTTCCCTGGATGCCAGGATTCTTTCCTGGCCCCGGAATTTTTAGAAATCGTTAGCTACTGCACTTCACCAGATGCTCATCTCGATGGCCTCCTGCGCTACACCGAGTCCTTCTCAGGTAAAAAACAAAACAAAACAACCCATCATCGACAAAGAGCACCCGCGTGACGCTGAGCCTCAGCGATGACAGCTGTTTTCGAGCCCTGTCTTTAATAGCTCGGATTTGATATGCAGCCGAGACGAGCAGGATGTTATTTTCTGCCTGATGAGAGTCTCTGGAGAGGCAGTGTTGTGCAGCAGTTGTGCTCTGGATGAGATCCTGTGTTCTGCCTTTCCTGTCCCAGCCTGCTGATGTCTCAGCAGAGGCTCTCGCTGCAGCAGGGCTGGGGTTTTGGTTGTACTGTAACCTCACAGGGGAGCCCGCTGAAGGAATCCTGCTTGCTAGGAGGGCTTGGTTTTCCCTCCCCAGTGCTTTCCCATTTCAGACAATCCCCCTAGGTTAGTCTGAGCTGAAATATTCTCAGTCTGGCTTTCAGCCTTTTTAAAAGAGATCTGGGTTTTCAGCTTCCCTGGTGGCATTCGTGAAGCTCTCTTTGTACCAGAAATGCTGAGAAAAGCTGAAAAGTTGTCTCCTTTTCTCAAAACAGAGAAAAATGTGCGTGCAGAGCTCTGCTCTCCAGAGCTTCTCAGAGCATTTCCGTGGCACCTACAGCAGGCATTTAAATCGGTGCCAGGGCTCGTAACTGGCTGGAGAAGCCTGGAAGCAAGGGCCCAGCGTGCAAAATAACAAATCCATCCCAGAGCCGATCCTCAGGACCAGTGCCAATCCTCTGAGCAGCTGGAGCACGACGCGAAGTGTGTGGGTGCTGCGTTCTCACCAACATGAGCACAGTCTAGCTCGGCAGCACAACAGCCAAGCACACCCCTGCCTGTTATTTCCCCAGCTGTCTCCCTTCTCTTGGCAGATAAGAGGATCTATCGGCTGCCAGTGTTCACGGAGGAGTTCTGCCGAGCCTTTGTTGAGGAGCTGGAGAACTTTGAGCAGTCGGACATGCCGAAGGGCAGGCCCAACAGTATGAATAACTACGGGGTAGGACTCAGCAGCTCTCGTGCTTCTTTAGGGGGAGCGTTCACAAGCAGACTTTGTTTACCTTGCTTCAGGATCCTTTCCATTCCAAAATGTCTGTATTTGAGTACAGCTTTGTTTGGGTACAGCCTCCTTAAAGGCTGAGGGAATGTGAGTGACTTGTCCTGAGGCAAAAGGACAGGGAAAGGCAGAGACAGGGTGTGGGAGCTGGTATCTCAGAGCAAAGAGTGCCTTGCTTTTAAACAACACACATCTAAATTGAGGTGTCTGGTTCTAAAGAACACTCAACTTTGATCTTACTCTGTTCACCACCACTTTCCACCTGATCTTCTTTCCTCTCCCTGTAGCTGGAATCTTTGTTCTTCGGTTCTTTATCTGAGCAAGCAGCAGTGTTGGAACAGAAAAAAGCAGCTTAGTACTTGATAAAGCAGCAGAGAACCCAGCTGCCGGTCAGCTGCTCCCAGCTCCTCTCTCTGTGGCAGGTCTTGCTCAACGAGATAGGGATGGATGAAAACTTCATCACGCCCCTGCGGGAGAAATACTTGCGGCCCATAACGGCTCTGCTCTACCCTGACCTGGGGGGCGCCTGCCTGGACAGCCACAAGGCGTTCGTGGTCAAGTACGCGCTGCACGAAGACCTGGATCTCAGCTCCCACTACGACAACGCAGAGGTCACCTTAAACGTTTCGCTGGGGAAAGACTTCACAGAAGGCGGCTTGTACTTCGGGGATTTCCGGCAGGTACTGGGCACATTCCTCACCTGGAGCCTGCTTCTGTTCCCCCCTAATCCCAATTTCAAGGCATCAACTGTTCTAAACCGCAGTTGTTCACTTCTGACAGTCCAAAGCACTCTGTCCCTTCCCCTTTTTTAAATGTAGTGGTTATACAGGAACCTTTTCTGCAAGGAACAAGATCTCCCTGCTCAAGCTAACTGCGGTCAATTCAAAGAGAGGAGAGAGCTGTGGTAGTAGAAGGTGGAGTGAAACAAACCAACCCATCTTCCCTTAAGGAAAAGGACAAACAGGGAGGTGCTGAGAGACAGGGAGAGAAATCATTTACTTCACATGAGACTTGCACCTAATTCTGTAGCCCCTGTTCTCTAGGAATAGAGCTAATTCCCCCTCTAAGAAGGGGATTCTTCACAGGAGAGGGGTTAAAAAAACCACCATACACTGGTGAAACTTTTTTTTTGGACTGAAACTCTGTCTTTAAGTTCCCTCTGGACCTGTCACTGCGAATGCCTTACCTGAAAGCAGTTGTACCAAACTGCTGCCAAGCCACCAGTGGCTGCATTTGAGGTACAGCTCATCCTTTCCCTGGTGCTTGTTGAAGAAATCAAAGTTTTAACTCAGCTGGACACTGTTCTTCAGGGGACTTTCTGGTATAATGCTGTACCCACCTCCCTTTGTTCTAGGATCCCAGCCCCGTGCCGAGCTACATCGAGGTCGAACACGTGGGGACCCAGGGGCTGTTACACAGAGGAGGGCAGATCCACGGGGCGCTCCCCATCGCCTCGGGGGAGCGCTGGAACCTCATCGTCTGGATGAGAGCCTCGGCCATCCGCAACCGGCTCTGCCCCATGTGCAACCAGAAGCCCGAGCTGGTCGAAGCAGAGGGGTTCGGAGACGGCTTCACGGAAAGCGCTGAGGACGACGTGCCCGAGACTGTGGATCTCTGTTCGCTGTGGTAGCAGGTGCTAGGGCACCATTTCTCTGGACCAAGTTGCCTGAAGCTGCTTTCTGCCCTCTCGGGCTGCTCTGACAGACGCTGGTGGATGCGTGAGTTGTGTCAGAAGTCACTGTCACCTTGCTGGGGATGCAGAACCAGTCCTGCCTGGGCTGGGGAAGCCGCCTGCGTCCCCTGCTGGTACTCAGCCAGGTGAGGGCTCACCCCCAGCGTGGTGGGGGGATGCTTGGAAGGTGTAGAAAGCCTTCAGGTGGAGTCACCGCAAGGGCTCTGGGAATATTTCAGGGGTACAGGAAAAATAACTGAAGCTGCTTGGCCTTTGTGGAGGCCTCTGTGCCAACAGCAGGGTTGCAAGGCTCTGTAAATGGGAAAGACCAGTGCAATAAAACCACATAACCCGCAGAAACAGTGCAATAAAACCCGAAATTTGCCACTTGTCTGCTATTGGCGGGCAGTCCTGGCCTCTCCCAGGAGAAAAGCTTTTGGGTTGTGGGGCAGCAGTGAGAGATCTGCCCCAAACTGAGATAAAAGCGGCTCAGAGCAGGCTGCTGGGAATGGCGTGGGGTTGTCACCACTGGAAATTTACCTAAAACAGGCTCAGAAAAACCCACCGGGAGCAGTACCGGGAGCTCTGACCCCCTGCGGCGGCCGAGGGGGTGCCTCGAGGGCTCCAGGAGCTCTTCGGAGCCAGGGGCCCTGCCGAGCCCCGGAACCAAAGCGCGCGGTCCCGTTGCCGGCCGGCGCCGAGCGCTGCGGACCGGAAGTGAGGGGGGACCGGGCCGGAGGAGCAGCGGCGGCGGCGGCGCGGCCCCGGCCCGCGGTGAGGCCGGGGGGCGCCGCAGGAGGGGAGGAGGGCGCATGCGCGCGGCGGCGGCACCGGGGGGGCGGGGGGAGGGTGAAAGGGGCCTTAAAGGGGCAACGCGGCCGGGGCCCGGCTCTTAAAGGGGCCGCTCCCTTCTTAAAGGGGCCGCGCCCTGCAGGCTGCTGGCGGCCCCTGCTGCCTCCCTGGGGGGCGTCAGGGCGGTAATTAGCTGGGGATCCTCGTGCCCCTCATTAATTGGGGGCCCTCGGAGCAGCCCCGTCCCACAGAGCTCCGGTGGCTGCCCAAGGACGAGGTGGTCGCAGCCCCGGCTCCGTCTGGCCGGGCTCGGCTGGGTTTGGGTAATTTTGGGGATCCCAAGGGCGCTGTCCCCGCAGGGCTGAGGCGCCATGGCCCGCAGCCAGCCGCGGAAGCGATCGCGGAGCAGGAGCCGGAGCAGGCAGCAGAGGAAGGAGAAGCGCAGGAAGAGCAGCAGGGAGCTGGACTCGAAGCCCGGCAGCAGCTCCCCGGGGAGGCGGCCCTCGGGGCCTCACAGGCACGGGTCGAGCTCAGCAGCCACCAAGGAAGGTAGGGAGAGGCCTGCGACCCAACGTTTTTAACGGGTTTTCTTGGGGCAGGTGGACAAAGGGGGCTTGGAAGGGAGAAAAGGATCCCTGCCTGTCACATCAGTGTGTGCTTTGTGCCCGTTTTGGTGGCAGCACCGAGGGGATTTGCCCTGGGGCTTTGTCTTCATGCTGGGAGAGGAGGGCACCAGCAACGGGAATCCCTGCTGCCACAGGGCCAGAGCTGCTCTGCTCATCCTCTTCTTATGCATTGCAGAAAAGAAGAAGGAAGGAAAGAGCAAAAAGAAGAGGAAGGCGAGCACATCGTCCTCTGAGACGTCTTCCTCCTCCAGCTCCTCCTCGTCTTCGTCTTCTTCCAGCTCCTCTTCCGATGACTCCAGTGACAGCGAGCCCAAAGCAAAGAAGAGTCGACACAGCAAAAAGAAGCGAGCGAAACACAAAGACAAAAAGAAGAAGAAGAAAATAAAAAAGAAATCCAAAAAGAAGTCAAAAGAAAAACCTAAGGAGGAGAGCACCAAGGCAGAAGTGGTGCCTGGCCCCTCACTGGAGCAGTGGCAGAAGGAGTCGCTGGTGGACTCCGGGCCAGGTAACGTTCACATTTCCCTCTTGCTTAGCCAGGGAACACTGCAGTGGGGAAAAGCTCCTGCGTGTCCCCCTCGGATCCATGCGGGGTGTTGTAGCAGAGCAGTGCACAGAGCAGTCCCTGACTCTCCTCCCTCCTGAGTGGCTGCCTTTGAGCAACACCAAGTAAAAGTAAGGAGCTACTTGCATAGATTGGTGAGTTTTTAGCTCTAATTGTGGCTGTAAGGTGGAAAAAGAGACACCAAATGAAAGGACACAGCAGTACCAACCTGGCAGAGCTTTGGGGCCGTCCAGCAGCCCTTCCTTGGTGTGGTTTGTCACTGACCCACAAGCACTGCAGGGATCTGGTGCTGTGTTCCTGGCTGCTCGTTGCAGGCACGCTGCGGTGCCCCTCGAGCACAGCTCTGACTAACGGACACCTTCCAGTCCTGACAGACGAGCAGAAATCCCGCATCCAGGCCATGAAGCCGATGACGAAGGAGGAATGGGACGCGAGGCAGAGCGTCATACGGAGAGTCGTGGACCCTGAAACGGGGAGAACCAGGTACGGGCCCTCGGGGCAGAAAGGAGGCAGGATCGCCCTGTACAGGTGGTGAGGGGAGGAGGCTGTTCTGCTGTATGGGGCCACGTCCCCTTTATCCCCTTCGGCAGCAAAAGCCTGAGCTGAGGCCTCACAGATCCCTCCTGTCACCCCTGCAGGTGGCACGTTGGGCACCCAAGAGTGACATTGTGCTGGGTTCCTACACAAGTGGCACTGGGCTGCCTCCCAGTGGAGAGCTGCAGGTGGCAGAGCTCCCTTTTATTTAATCCTTGTGGCTGGAGTGGTTCAGCTGTGTCCCATTAAACGGGGCCCTGCCCCTGCAAAGCAAAAACCAGAGGGGGGTGGTGGTGCCTCCACACCCCCCTGCTTCATGCTCCTGCCTTTCAGGGCTGAAATGTGCCCTCAGCACCTGGGGCTGAGGGGGCAGGGAGCGTGTTTTGCTTGAGGTTACAGACAATCAGCCTGAAGTTCGTTTAGCTGCCAACTAGAAATGACCCAGATTTTAATAAACTGCATCCTCCCAGCGAGCAGCAAACATCGTGCTGAAGAGAATTGGGCATGACAAGTCCGGTCTTAAAATAGAAGGCAGCCTGCGGGGCTTAGGGAGGTGTGGAGCTAAGGTCAGTTCCCCGGTAGGCACGTAATGAAGACAATTAAATTCCTGCTCGTGGTTGGAGGTGGGAGCTGCCTCTGACACTGCTGGAAATTTGTGCAGCTGAGATGCTCCGGGGCCTGGCTGCCTTTCAGGCCCAAACTGGCTCCCGTTTATGAGTGGCCCCTGTGTGCTTCGGGCAGTTGGGAGCAGACCTGAATTCAGTGCATAAACAAATAAAATAAGGAAGGGGTTTTGCAGAGGCTGGGTCTGAAGCAGTAGCTGTCACAACTCATGGCCCTGTCCTTGTCTTCCAGGCTTATTAAGGGAGATGGAGAAGTTCTAGAAGAAATTGTCAGCAAGGAGAGACACAAAGAGATTAACAAGGTAACGGGGGGCTCGTCACCATCACTGACTGCTGGTGGGAGGGCTGGGGGGGCCACAGCTGAGGGGCTGCTGCACCCAGAGGCGTTGTTTTCGCCTCCTGGGACCTGAGTGGCTCCACTAGGGCAAAACCAAGCCCTGGCAGCCCTGCAGCGGCCCCAGCGGGTGGGTGCTGGTGGATTTTTGTCCTCGGGAAGGCTGTGCTCTGAGGGCCTGTCTCTCCCTTTCCAGCAAGCCACCCGGGGGGACGGGCTGGCCTTCCAGGTGCGGACGGGGATGCTGCAGTGAGGGCCTGGGCTCCAGCCATGCCGGGGGCTGTTCTGCAGGCAGCAGCCTGGGCGTGATGAGCAGGACCCTGCAGGTGGCACCACGTCAGGACGCTTCCCGGGGCAGTTTCCACCCGCTCTGTAAGTTACTGACTGGGAAGGAGAGCACCTTTAATGGGTCGTCTCCCAGTAAACCCCTTCTCTCCCCTCTCTCCTGGCTGTGGTCAGTGTGGCTGTAATGCGCTTGGGTCCTGCTTGCCCTGGTGCCCCTTTTAAGGCCTGAGGAGCTCAGCAGCACTGAGAGGTGCTGATGCCCCTCACCTCTAGGCTTTGGCTGGCAGGAGGCATGGCTGTGGCCAGAGCATGCACCAGGGCTACAACACTGGCAGCTGGCTGCCACGTCTTCCCTTCAGGGGCTGCTCTCGGTCCCATCCTTGCTGCCCTGTGCATACCCAGCTCATGGACCCTTTGTGCTCACCCACCCTGCTCGGAGCAGAGCGCCCGTGGTGCTGCGTGGCTCTGCTCAGGCTGCAGCACCCAGCCTAAGCCCTCGAGTGCCACCCTGCGCAGGGGCTTTACTCATACCCCTTTCCCACAGTGCAGGTCCTGGGCAGCAGCAAGGCTCTGGGGGTCTCAGGGCCTTTGCCCACAGCAGCTGTGCTGCAAACAGCCGTCATTTTCCCCCACTACAAAGTCCATAAAGCTACAAACTGTTAAAAAAAAAAAAAAAAAAAAAAAGCGGTAATTAATGGACAAATGAGTCCTGTTGATCCTCGCAGAAGCCCTCAGTGTTGTGTTCGTGGCTGTAACCCTCCATTAAACTGGCTCCTGCTCCCATCCCAGGCTTTGTGACTCGTGTTTCTAGCGGCTCCCCAAGAAGCAGACGAGAGACGAGCCTTCCCATTTCTTTAATCTGTGTAACTCACAATGGTACTGTACACAAAGCACACCCAGGCATTGGAACGATGCACTAACAGCAAGGAGGAGAAGGAAGTCGTACAGAAGGTTTGTCACACACAAGCACGTCACCTGCACGGTGCTGCGCACACGGGGGCAGACCCAGCACGGCCCGGGAGCGCCGGCTGGGCTCGGGCTGCTTGGCCCGGGCTGCGGGCGGGCGGCCGGCGCCCTCGGGCATGCCCTCCGGTGGGACCCCACACGCGCATCTGTTTTCCCCCCCCCCCGAAGCAATTTTTTATAAATAAAATATAATTAACATCGTCGAATATAAAATTGACAGTCGAGGGTATCGACAGGCAGAGGGTGCTCAGGACAGGGAAGGGACCGTAAGGCTTCTAGAACTAATAGGAAATGCAGCAGACGGTGGCAATACCTGAAGAAGGGGCTGCTACAGCAAGCACGGCGGCTGCTGGGCGGAGCGGGCGTTTGTTAGTAACCCTTTGGCTAGTTACTGCTCTCGGCTCGCGTATCGGACACTGTAAACGTTTTTTGGTATCAGAATTTCGCCTCACCTGACGGAGTGAGCTGGCCACCCAGGGAAACAACTCGGCGTGAATGCATGGGGTCTTTTTTTTTTTTTTTTTTTTCCTTTAAAAGACTTGAAAGGGACAGTGTCAGGTAGAAAGTCTGGCCCGATAGTTCCGTAATACAAAAAGCTGCTTTTTATAAAAATCTGAGCTCCACAGCAGAGTTTGATTCCCATGGAAACAATTAGAAAAAAAAAA